CTCCAGAGGAGCCACGTAGAATTCAGGAAGTGCTGAGACAATATGCAGACCAGACTCTTTGGTAGACAGTACAGTCCCTATGGGGGAAGAGGCCGTGCCGGCCACAGAACCACACTGGGATTACCAACCTGGCCAAAGCGCCGACAGAGGCGGGACATCATGGTTCATTGCCTATTTGGGGTTTGGAAATGGTCTCAGAACAAGTAGTTAATTTTGAAAAACTTCAAGAGATTACACAGCTAGCTGATGAAAATTCAGATATATTTTTTTTAAAAATTGGTTCCAAGAGACCATAGGAGCCACAGTCTTGGCTACCAATTTTATTTCTCAGCACCAGATATAAGAAAAAAGGAACTGGTGAAAATGGCCCTTAAAATTTTTAATGCATGTATCAGTTTGTATTAGGAAGGCCAATTTTCTTTAGGTTTACTTCAAACAACTTTGTTGCAAGTGTCAAAAGAAAACTAATACTTACCAAGTAGAAGCAATCCAGTGTCAGGCAAGCGCACAGAATGCTTTGACTGCCATGTTTCGGTTTGTCTATGTGAAGCCTCCATCACAAAGTGTTTAGATCTTACATACCTGGGTATTGGTACGGGGATACCTAGGTCTTCTGTATGAAAGCTTAGATTATTCTAGGAAAAAGGATAAAAGCACGAATTCCATTAATGTGTTTGGAGAAAAGGAGAGGGAAGATTCACTACTGTAAGTCAGCCAGGCAGGAGCCTCATGACTATAATCATGACTCTGGAGGCTAAAGCGGCAGCTTCAGGAATTCAAGGGTAGTTTGGGCTTCTTGGCACTCTGTCTCCACAAAAAAAAAAAACCAAACCACAAAGCTGTCTGGGAGAAATAAATGTAAGGAATATAAAAATGAATAAAAATAGTAAGACAGAAAACATAGGACAGTATTGGGAGGATATTTCAGGAATAAGTCAGACCCTGAAAAATCAGCGTTTTTTTCCCACAGGACTCAGAGGCATTTGCTGGTACCATGTGCACTGGGCTGGCTAGGAAAACGGGAGGACTCATGTTTTGACTCCAGAGGCTAGAGCGCCTCAAAGCCTGTGTGCTCACACTGCCGTGGTGTAAGTCACAGGGAATTCGAACAAAGTGCTCCACTGGGGTAGTTTCCTCTTGGAGTTTGGGTTCTTGTTTTGCTTTTGGCCCTCACCTCTCCCTTCCTCCTTGTAGATCTGATTCAGGTTCACCCAGGTTTCATTTATTCCAGAGTGGGAGCTGCCCCCCTAGCTCCCTAACTGAAGCAGGGCCCTATCCGTGTGACTACTAATTGTTTTCCTACTTTTTCAATGTGCAGTTCTCAAATTTTTCTCANCAAATTCCATTAATGTTTTTGAAGAGAAGGAGAGGGAAGCTCCACTACTGTAAGTCAGCCAGGCAGGAGCCTCATGACTATAATCATGACCCTGGGAGGCTAAAGCGGCAACTTCAGGAGTTCAAAGATAGTCTGGCCTTCTTGGCACTCATTCTGTCTCCACAAACAAAACCAAACCAGAAAGCTGTCTGGGAGAAATAAAAGTAAGGAATATAAAGATGAATAAAAATAATAAGACGGAAAACATATGACAGTATTGGGAGGATATTTCAGGAATAAGTCAGACCCTGAAAAATCAGCGTTTTTTTCCCCACAGGACTCAGAGGCATTTGGTACCATGTGCACTGGGCTGGCTAGGAAAACGGGAGGACTCATGTTTTGTCTCCAGAGGCTAGGATGGCGCAAAAGCTGTGTGCTCACACTGCCGTGGTGTAAGTCACAGGGAATTCGAACAAAGTGCTCCACTGGGGTAGTTTCCTCCTGGAGTTTGGATTCTTGTTTGCTTTTGTCCCTCACTTCTCCCTTCCTCCTTGTAGATCTGATTCAGGTTCACCCAGGTTTCATTTATTCCAGAGTGGGAACTGCCCCCCTAGCTCCCTAACTGAAGCAGGGCCCTATCCGTGTGACTACTAATTGTTTTCCTACCTTTTCAATGTGCAGTTCTCAAATTTTTCTCAAGGCATTTTTTTTTTTAAATTTCTGTCTTCTGCAGCAGGCTGTAATTAGTTAATTCACTCATGGGGGTGTCCTGGTGAAAACGGGATGGGTGCATGGGGGCTGTGGAATGTTAGGTATTTTCTCTTGGATGGTCTGTTCCAGGGTGGTGCATGAGTGGTCTTTCTTGGAATCAGGTATTGCATTAGGGTAAAATAAAATTTAGGTCTCTATTGAACTTGTCATGGCTGGGCTCTACAGTGACTATTTTGTTGTTGTTGAACTTGTATTGGTTGTTGAGAATATAAATTAGTATAGGCATTATGGAAAACAGCACAGAGCTTTCTCAAGAACTAAAAATAGGAGGACAGGAGAGATGACTCAGTGGCTAAGAGTGCACAGTGTTCTTACCAACTTCGATGCCCAGCACCCACACTGGGTGACTCACAAACAGCTGTAACTCTAGCTACAGAGTGACTGACACCCTCTTTGGACTGTAGCCTGCACTCATATGCACAGACACACATATGCACACGTAATTTTAAAATATGTAAGCAAATCTTTAGAATAAATTAGAACTACCAGATGATCTAGCAATCCCACTATGTGTGTGTATAGTCAAGGAAAGTAAAGTCAAAACCTTAATAGTGTCTGTACTCCGTGTTCATCCAAGAGTCAAGCCATGGAAGCAACATAAGTGTCAAGAGAGTAAGAAACTGTCATCTATGGGAATTTCATTCACTCATGAAACAAAAATGAGAAAGTAGGTCTTATAATCCCATACCTTGGAACGCTGAGGCAAGAGAGTCACAAGTTTGAGACCAGTCTGACTATGCATCCAAATGCTGCTTTGCTTTGCTTGCTGACTTTTATATTTTTGTTATGGATGAACCTGGAGGACATTGCGGTAAGTGTAATAAGCTAGAAAAATATCTTTTATGTGCTCTCACATGTAAAATCTAAAGAACTCAAATACATAATTGCCAGGGGTAGTGTTGGTCAAAGGGCATAAATGTGCAGCTAAGAGGAAAGCCTAGAACTCTAAAGCACAGGATGACGACTGTAGCTAAAAACTGTCCATGTAAGATCACAGCTACAGCTCTCACGAATGAGTGTCATTTTATTCAGGAGGCAAATTTGAGTCATCATGGCCTAGAAACACAAATTTAGGCTATCCCAAATTCTGTGTTCCAATATGGAGGCTTTTGTGAGGTGTCTACAGTTACAGAACAATGAAAGTCACGAAACAAGGCATTTGGAAAAAGTGCATTGATGGGGCTGGAGAGATGACTTAGTCATTCAAGGCTAGGCTCATCAGAGAGACGGGTACGGGCAGGGAGGGATCTCAGCTACAAGTCTCAGATGCTATCTTATAGCATTCATTGGACCTTTGGTTGGTTTTGTTAATACACTCCAAAGTTTGTGTTTTTGATCTGTTCATTAGGATATTAGCTCCCACACCACAAAGTGGGTGAAGAATACATCTTTAGGAATTAAGGACAGCATGAGATAATAGGACTCTGGACCTGCAACCTTCCAAACCCTCCAAGGTCATTGAGTTTTATTCAACAACCTCTGTAGACACAGACTTTTCACAGGGATTCCCGCTCACAATGTACTGTACCACAGCAGAGATGTGCTAGACAATAGATTTTGTCCTCTCTATCACACACCTAAACATAGAAAGTAACTATGAGAACGTGTGCTATGCTAACTCTGTGACTTGTATTTATTATTCTATTATTTCTAAAGGAGGAGAAACAATTACTTTTCCTAGGCATATCTCAGTCCCTCTACAATGCATGATAAATAACTCCTCTATTCCATCAGCTTGCAAAACTATGTGTCTATTTCAAAATAGCCAGTAAGGTTCCTGTTTCAGCACAATACAGTCACACCCCTTATGCAAAATAAGATATACCAGCTTAGAACCTAGTATCTGCAGATTAGCACCCGGAGTCTCACCAGCACAGACACTGCACTGAGCAAGTCCTTTGCTCTCAACATGCTTGACCCGGACTCCTGGCCTCACACTCCTCACGGTGTCCTGCTGCTGACCCTACTGCTGGGACTCCCAGGTGAGCATGCTCAGGAGTACAACCATACCTCCTGAGTGAAGGGGAAAGTAATGACTCAGGACTCCCAAGGTCAAGTTCTCAGACCCAGTTCTCAGGACAAAAATTTATTTACCCCAGAGAGACAATGACAGGAAGCAGAGAAAGAGGGGAAAAAAACCAGGGAAAAGAAGATGGAATATTTGTCCTGGAGAAACAAAGTACTGCCTCTGAATAAAGAAGAGACAGGCATGGCACATAGGAAAATATCATTTTATAAAGGAAAAATAGGAAACCCAGTGTTAGAAAGAGGTGCTTAATTAGGCATGTTAATTAGGTGAGCCCAAGAAGGCTTTTGATTGCTGGATTTTAATACATTGATAACAGAACGTTGGCAGTCAGCCTCAGGAAAAGGGATTGTCCAAATAAGAGAATAGACCTTAGGGTACTAGCTTCAAGAATGTAATCTGATGGTTTTTAGCAAGGCAGAAAGAATTAGGGAGAAGGTCAATATCTGTTAGAGCCACATGCTCCAGTGGGCTAGTGTCCTCTTCACTGTGAATAGAACTGCCACAGGAGAGAATCTCAGAACTTTGTTCATTTTCTAGAGGCAGTGTCTGGAGTATTGCTCTGTGAGTCCATGGGTTCCCATAGGTGACCAGAAACATTCTATCTGGAAATCATTAAAACACAATTTAATTTTTATAGTATTACAGCTAACAAATTTACTTCAGTAGAACCCCACTTAAATCCATGGAACTCTGTGTCCCATCAGAGACAGCATGTCAGTTCCAAAGCTGTGGATGGCCTATCTCCACACTCGGCACTCTCTGCTCCCTTTCTGAGTTGAGGGCAGTGACATGGCTAGAGGGAAGTGTCTCTGGCAGTGCGCAGCCACCATACTTCCCACTAAGTTTCCTCATTCTGTCCTCCAGTTCCTTCATCTGACCACAAACTTCTCACTGAGTGCTGCTGTCTTACTAGTGCTTGTGTTTTATTGGTAGGGTTGCCACGGCACTGTACACAGACTGGTAATCAATAAAATCAATAGTCATTCATTTTGGCACCGTTCTGGAGGCTGGAAACCCAGGGTCAAGATGCCCACTAAGATACTTTCTTCCGTGATGCCTCTCCTATTGTGAATCCTACCTTCTCCTTCTCTCCACACAGGATCTCACTTCAGACTGTCTCTGTTGATCTTTTGTTTCTTGGAACGAAAGCAGTCCCATTGGGTTAAGATCCACCTTAATTGACTTTTACTCCTTCAAAGACCCTGTTTCAAATATAGTCACATTATGAGGTACTGGGCTATGGCTTTGCTATGTAGAGTGTAAGCAATTCATCTAGACCAATTACTCACACATCCCTGATCTTGTTGATATTCTCCAGGGAGCTTTGTTTCCCTTCATCAATAAGAATTATTGACACTCTGAGTGGTCCCTGCCATGATTCTCAAAGGTTGTTTGTCCTCAGTTCTTTCTTTGTTCGTTAGAAAAACTTGATGACTTCAGGTCAGGGCTTATCAGCCCTCAGGCTCCCCACTTTTGTTAGGGGAGCTATTGTGTCATCTGATAATAGAAGTCAAACTTTTAACCTGTCCTCACTGTACTCTCGCTGCAGCTGATACTAGCAATGATTGATAAGACCTTCTGGTGATTATAGCACTTTCTGAAACTTTTGTTTTTCATTTTCTCAAATTAATATAAAATTACATCTTTTTTCCCTAGTCCGATTCTCATATTCATCGACTCTGTTTCTTTAACTCTTCTCACTTTCTCTTTCTCCCTCACTCCCTTCATATGCATATCTCCTCTGTATCTCTGTTTTTGTCTCTCTTTCAAACACACCCACACACACATTTCTAAATATATAAAAACAATTTGCTCAGTCCATATACTGTTACAGGAACAAAGACAACACCAATACACATGACAGCATTAAAGGAGAATATTTTTCACTGACAGACATTGTGTGTCCTTGCTCTGTCTTTATATTCACATTTCAGCCTTGTTTGCATTATTCCTGTCTACCTACCATGATCATCTGTTTTCCTTTTTGGCTTTTATTGGCTATTTATCTTGGGAGTTTACTTCAGTATTGTGAAGTTGTCTAGTACAAATGTCATACTTGGAGCATGAAATATACCCAAAACTTCATGTATTAAAGCCTTCGTTCCCAGCTGATGGAACTACTGTGAGAGATGATTGGGTGTTAGAAGGTAAGGTGGACATGAGCAATATTGCCCCATTATACTCTGTCTTCATGAGGAGGTTCTGCCTCCCCTGAGACCACAGCAATGGAGAAAGTCAGCACTGTGATCCGTGAACTCTCTGAAACATGGAGTCAGTTGTAATATTATTTCTTTGCACCCTCCAGTATTTTTCAAATCAATAGAAAGATAATTTAGCAAGCCATAACTATCACCAGATGTACATCTATACCTAGAGCTAGATACAGCTCTGTAATCTGGACCAAGCTCCATGACACCATGCAGATACTCAGTGTCAGTGAACGACCCATGACCCAGAAAATGAGCTGAGGAATTACTTTTCAGTGTCGTGAGCTTGAGCACTCACCATGTCCCAACCTCTATAGAATGTACTCCACTGCTCTACCTCATGTGGACCTACATGTCAGGTTAATGCTCTTGTCACACTGCCACAGCAAAGAAGAAGAAGCAGATGCACAAACAATCCTTATGGCAACGTCTAGAGCTGTGGTTTGAATTCAGGCTGATTGACTGAGGTCGTAGGATTCACCATCACTCCTCCCAGAGACTTTCTTCTATCCCATGAGCTTTAGCTGGTGAAATGGGGACAGGGTCTGTGGGTCTCTGCTCCTGTGCTCTTCAGCTTTCTTACATGCAAACAGTTTTTATTTGGAAATTCATTCACATAGGAAACAAGATTTCTATTTCTACATAAATCAGCAATTTCAAATGGGTTTGAGTCACATGGGAAGATACATACTGAGCAAATCACACATAAGGGAGAATTTGTTGAGTCCTGACTATGACGTAGAGACTGTTGACAAAACGGATCCACTATCCTTCACTTTTACTCTTATGTAAAGTGCTCTTTTCTCTTCTTTGCTGAAACAATTTTCTCTTGCATCCTGTGGTACTTGACAGACTTGAGTGTGGCTGTTGTTGCTGTTCCTCTGGATATATTGAATATTGAGGCTGCACTCCCTATGGTAGTGTTCTGGGATTTCTGTGGACTCACGGATGAGGGTATGAAACTATCTACCTTCCACAGCCCTAACTGTTTGAACTCAGAAACTCTTCCCTTGCTTAGATAGTACACAGTTACAGCAGCCTGAACTCTAGAGATGGGACAGAGAAGAAGGATGGAGTTTCTCCCAAGCAAAGCTGCTGTGCAGACTCCAATTCTCCCTAAATCAGCTAAAACCGGGAAGGACTGGATGCTTCTACTAGCTGTGATCATCTTCATCCATGCAAACACAATTTGATGAGATTCTCAAATCCACTCTTCAAAGCAGATTTCACAGATGTCAGGATAATTAATTCAGTTTTCTGTTCTCTCCTCCCAGAAACAGAAGGTCCTAACACTCACTTGATGACCTCTCTCTCTCTCTCTCTCTCTCTCTCTCTCTCTCTCTCTCTCTCTGTCATAGTTGGTTGCCTCAAGGAGGCTACTGCTTTAGTTCTTTGTGAAAGATGAGGTGGGTCCTGGGCACATGACATTGAGTTTTAAATCTCCCCATATTTACCATTTTACTTTTATAGAATCAAACTACTTTTTATGTTACAAAGACATTATTTCATTTTAGTTCCTATTGAGTATGTTAGAGCATCGTTGTTAATAAGAAATGTTGCAGAAGAATGACTAATACTCATATGTCGTGTTTAAGCAAGTCTACTAGAAAATCAAGCCATACATACTCTTTCACAAAGTTGCCGTATGCTTTTGGTTTCAGTTATCAAGGGAAGCAGATTTTCCACATCAGACATTCTTGTTTGAGACCTAGCAGTGTCTCTCACCCTTCCTAGCAGCCTCAGGTGTATGTCCTTCCCTAAGGCTATTAATGAGAACCACAAGGTGGAAGATTAGAGTCACCATTGTCAAAAAGCCTAAGTAGAAGTTGGGAGCTCGGGATGCTTTATGAAATTTTAAAATTCAGAATACACTCCGAGTTGTATTGTCTTCTAAACTAGGCCTTACTCTCTGGGATTCTTTATTTCAACACAAGGGAAACCCATTAGCATTTCCTGAAGGACAGGTATTGATATCGCCAAACAGGAATCATTGTAATAAACTCAGATTTTTAACTACAAAGCCTGTTTTCTCTCTTGTGTTGGTCCCATAGTTTTGCATTGTGTGGAATCCTGGGTTTTATTTAAATTCTGGATGTGTTTTCTCTTTTAGAACTGTGAGAACACACACTGTCTCACGGCCTCCTGGATGCTAACACTTCTGATAAGAGCTGTGATCCTATCATTAAGCAGGACAAGATGAGTCATGCTCCATCTAGGGAGCACTCAGCATTCTCTTTCTACTCTGCTTTTGTCTGTTGGATTCTAGCGTCTGCTGGTGTGTGTCTCTGAGTTTATCTCACACTGAATTAGTCAGTTGTTGGATTTATTGTTCTTATATTTTAATAAATCAGGAAAGTTTTAGACAACAGTTGTTTTCCAACTGTTCTTGTCACTATACTCCAAATACATTTTTTTCTCTTTATTGTACCTCTGCCCCTGGAGAGCTGCCTAAGTAATGTTATAGTACACATTTCCATCATTTTAGATATTTTTTGTAACCTGCTAAATCTTCTGTAGACCCTGCCCAAGGGACTAATAAATTATATACGCCTCATATGTTGACTCATGAGTTGACTCCTCAATATCATTTGGTTTCTTCTCATAGTTTCTCTCAGTTTGGTGTTATATTTTGCTATTCAGACTCTTCACTTTCTTTAGAACTTTTCCTTACTTTCATTTTGCTCTTTTCATATCTTAAATGAAAGTTGCACAGTCTTGGTCCAGTCGTATAGGACAGTGCAGTACAATGCAGTCCTATAAGATCACCAAGTCCAGGCAAGAAGAGACAGATGTGTCAACTATAAGACTTAAAGTAACTGAGTAAATAAGATGCTGTGATGAGAAAACAGGCAACAAGAGAGACTGATCCCAGGTGACCACATCATGTGCAAAAGAAAAAACAGGGCCTCCTGGAGAGTGAGGCACTGTGACCCCTTGGTAGCGGCCATGTCACACCAAACTGGAACTTCTTACCTCCAAAGCGTGAAATAAAACTTTTCTGTTGTGTCAAGCCATTAACTTTGTAGGAATCTGTTGTGTCATCCTTCAAGTTAATATAATGTTGGGGCCAGAGAGAGATAGTTTAGGGGTTAAGACCACTTGCAATTCTTTCATGGGACCCAGGTGTAAGTCTGAGCACCCACATGGTGACTTATAACTATAAGTTATAACTATAACTTCAGTTCCAAGGTCTGTGACAGCAAACTGATAGCTTAAACAGGGTTTATTTCTCTAATTAATGTGATGGTATTGCATGTTGGGAAATATCTATGGCATTGTCACCCCACCTGGTAAAGCAACTCGCCTGACCTGGGGCCTCACCTAGAATCTAGTAATCAAATGTACATCTCACCAACTATACCTCACAGTTAACGTTTACATCACTGGTTTCAAAGAGTCATGTAATCACATCCAATACTGTTGTATAAGAAGTGCAACATGCCATGTGCACAGAAAAGGAAAATCAACTAATACTGGTATGAGAATGTCAAACAATACTGGGGCTTCACGAAAATACTGCCAAAGACTCAGTGTCTCTGTGACTCATTTCCTCATCTCTTCCATTCCTTTGCTAAGAGGCCCAAGTGAGGGGAACCGTGATCACCCTATGCTGAGGTCTAGGAAGTAGCAGCATTTTATGACAAACTAGAGGAACCTGTGGGTTGTGGGTTCTCGTCATGATGAGCACTAACTGATGTTTCCTGCAGAAGCAGCTTCACGGGAGCTGAAGGTGATTCAGCCTGAGAAATCAGTTTCTGTCCAAGCTGGAGAGTCAGCCACTCTGAACTGCAATGTGACGTCTCAGCTATCTGTGGGGCCCATGAAGTGGTTCAGGGGCACAGGACAGAGTCGGCAACTAATATATGCTTTCACAGGAGAGAAGTTTCCCCGAGTCACAAATGTTACAGATATTACAAAGAGAAACAACCTGGACTTTTCCATCCGCATCAGTAATGTCACAACTGATGATGCTGGTACCTACTACTGTGTGAAGTTCCAGAAAGCAGACTGTGACAAGGAGTTTCTGTCTGGGGGAGGCACAGTGCTGTATGTCCTTGGTAAGTACTGCATTGTCCTTGTCCCTCATATCTCCAAAAAGGCAAAATGTGTCCAAGATTGTGTGATCAACAATAAAGACGCAAGCCTGTGAGTGATCCTCATGCTCATAGGGAGACTTAACCTAGCTGTGGGCCAAGGAAGCTGAGGAGAGGACATGCTATGGGCTAGCGGTGCCATTTCTGGTAAATGGGGGTGAACCCATACCCTTGCCTGCCTCACAATACCTACCCTTCTCAATCTGCCCCTGTCTAGTGACTACATAAAGACAGCTGATGCCTCGTTCAGGGACAGGACAAACCTGGCCTACCGCCTCCAGAGTGTATTACCTCACCCAATTAAGTCTTCTCTTTCTGCCAGACAACCTGGGCCGAGTGTATGCTAGGTTCTATTCTAGATGTCAAACAGAGAGTAAGAAGCAGGCAAGCATGAGCTCTTTCTCCAAGATGTAAGTCTCCCCCCTCCTAAGAGGAAAA